CTTGATGTGGCCGAAGTCCAAGGTGGTGCAAGTGGACAGAGAGAGGCTGACCGTGGCAAAGTTCAGCAGGGCCAGGACCACCAGAGCCCTTTGCAAGTGCATCTTCATGCGTGAGCCGGGAAGAGAGGCCAGGGGGATGGTGAGGCCTGGAGAGGAGGAGACCCCAGCAGACGTGCAGAAGGAGGGAGGAAAACCAGGCGGCCTCCCCAGATCCCAAAGACTGAGGCTTGGCAAGAAGGTGCATGAACTCACTGCACTGCGAGAGCTTCAGGACTTCCAGGAAGCGCTGGCAACCCTGAGGAAGAAGAAGCGGACTGTGTGCCTTGTAGCTCTGGGATTCTTGTCCATGTGTCTAAACAGGTTTTGCTGGGCTCTGACTCCCAGCAGGCCAGGTGGAGGGCAAGCGGAGGGCTGGGAGGGGTGGCAAGGCAGCTGAGAGTGGGAAGGGAGCTGGAGTTTTTCCTTAGGTAAAAATAAATAGAGCGGATATCTGATATTGCCAAACACCGCTTGGCGATGGGGAGAAAGTGGGTATTTTAAAGAAGGAGCAGAAGGACCATGGCTGGATCCCAAAATCAAAATCCTTGCCTTGCCCTAAAGGAAAATAAGAAAAGAGAATGGAAAAGAAAAGGGGAAAAAGTTTAAAAAAAAAAAAAAGTCAGATCACCAGTGAGTAGGTGGGGAGAGGCCGGGCCGGGCAGTTGCTGGCCCAGTTAAAGGTGGGGGCAGTACAGGACACACTTGTCTCTCAGGCACTCCATTCATGCTTTCTCTTTTGTTTACACTTCCTCGGGGGCTTTCTAAATGACTTTGTTCACGCTGCCTCTCGTCTTCATTGGCTGGGGTGTGGGGTTATGTGCATTGGAAGGCAGGGGGAGGCCTCCGAGCGCAGCAGCCCCAATCATCCACTCGGACGCCCAGGGTCACCAGCACCTCGGCTTGTCTTCTGCCTCGGCCATTGCTTCTGTCCCCTGCTTCTCTTTAAAAAATGAAAAGGAGAAGAAAAATAAAATAGAAGCCAGTTCACGGCACGCCTGCTCCGGAAAGCTGTTATTCCTTCTTTCGCACGCTTCTTCCCCTGTCTCTGCCTCTCTCGCTCATTCCCTTGGACTTGACTCTCTGCTTCCCTCCCTTTCTCCCTCTCCCTCTCGCTCCTCTCCCTCTCTCTCTCACACACATGCACACACACTGCTTTCTCTATTTCTCTCTGCTGAAATTTTATACCTCCCTCCCATGACGTCTCTGGCCTGGGGTGGGGGAGGGAGGGACCAGCGCACGCAGCCTCTTTTGCTGCACGATGTTAATGTTTTAAACAGGCACAGGAAAAGCCGAGCCCATTTGAAAAATACTTTGCGAGTCCTACTCGTTCGACGTGGTAGCTGAACTTTTTTTCCCCTCTTGGAATCACTCCTGCTACACGCTGGCTGTTTTTCTGGAAAGTTACTCCGATGAGCCCCCTCCCTCCCTTTCCCCCAGCCCCTGCGCCCTCTCGCCGGCTGTCAGTCCGCGCCGTCCGCGGCCCGCGTCTCTCTCCCTCCCGGTCCACGGGTCCCAGGGCCGCCCCCGGGCCAGGCCCAACCCGGGACAGGGTCCGCGGAGGGCTCGGGGCCCGGCAAGGTCGGCCGTGCCAGCCTCGAGGAGGGGACTCCCGGCTGCGAGCCGGATTGGAGGGTCGGTGTCCGCTCCGCCGCGATCCTGGCCCGATTCTTCATTGACAAGCTCGGAGTCGAGAGGCGGGCAGAAGCCGGGAGACGCTTCGGGGGCAGTGAAAAATGGTGGCGTTTTCCGGAAGATCGAGGGTGCCCTCTGGCGAGGCGAGGCCGCTAGTGAAGGAGCTCAGCGGGTCGGGAGCCGGGGAGGCGCGGGCAAGGGGGGGCTGGGAGGTTGGAGGGCTGGGGGGGCTGGGGGCAGTAGAGGGGCGGGAGAAGAGGCTGCGGGAGAGAGCGAGAAAAACAAGACCCGGGCTCCGGGGAATCGCCTCCCTCCCGGCCCCACGTGCGCAAGAGCGCACCTCTCCCTCCCCAACCGCGGCTCCAGAGCCGCTCTCGCAGAAATGTCATCCAGATGTTCAGCCTCCCTCCTCGCCGAGGGCTCCGAGGGGAGCTGCGCCAGCGAGCGCGAAGTCAGCAGTTGGCCCGAGCCCATTTCCCAGATGGGTGAGGGGAAGTTGGCTCTCCGCTTTCGCTCATCTCGGGCCGAACCTCCAGGCCTTTTCCCACGAGCAGCACGGGGAGGGCAGGGCACGTGGCCCCCCCGCACCGGGCAACAAGGGGCTTGCATCTGAACTGAACTTTCCTGAAAGTGAGTGCCGCTCCCACCCCAACTCACTCCAGCCTCCCTGGACCCTTTCTGAGAGGTCTGGTTTCTAGGCCACTAATTGAAGGGCTGTTTACTGTATCCCAGCACAGCGGTGGCTCATATACGGATGAGGAAACTGAGGCATATATATATATATATATATATATATATATATATATATATATATATTAAAGACCACAGTGCTGTTTGTGAATGATGGAGGTGATATTTTACACAGGCTATCTAGTTTGGGTAGGCATTATTTTCATTTCCATAACTGATGAGGAAACCTAAGGGTAGAAACTTTAAAAATAACATGCCCAAGGTCACATAGCTATTAGGTGGTAGCTGTTGGGATTTGGACCCAGGACGTTGCCAGAGTCTGTGGACTTAATTACTATGCTATACTGCCTCTGGAATTTGAGAAAAAGGTTAATGTTTACTATGTGCCAGGCACCGTTCTACACTCTGTGAACAATATTGGTGAACAAAACAAACAAAACTCTTGCCCTCATGGAACTTATATTTTAGGGGCAGGGGTGGGGCAGTGGAGGAGGCAATAAACTAAATATGTAAATGATGCAGTAGGGTAAAAAGTGCTGGGCCAGGTGCAGTGATTCACATCTGTAATCCTAGCATCTGGGGAGGCCCATGCTGGAGGATTGCTTGAGCTCGGGAATTCAAAAACAGCCTCAGCAACATATCGAAACCCAGTCTCTACAAAAACAGAAAAATTAGCCGGGTGTGTTGGCGCAGGCATCTACTTGGGAGGCTGAGGCAGGAGGATCACTTAAGCCAGGAAGGCAGAGGTTGCAGGGGGCCAAGATTGCATCACTGCAGTCCAGCCTGGGTGACAGAGCAACACCCTGTCTCAAACCAACCAAGCAACCAACAAACAAACATGGCAGAAAATCAAGCAGGGAAGAAGGATGGGGAGTGCCTAGGTTGGGGGATGTGGCAGTTCAACATAGGGAAGGGCTTTGAGCGGACAGTTGCAAGACAGGAAGGAAAATTGTTAAAGTTATACTTTTCTGGACTCCAGGTCGACTAAATCAGACTCTCCAGAGATGGCGCTGGCATCTCTACTTCTTTACAAACCTCACACGTGATTCAGGTGCTCAGCAAGGTTGGAAGCCACTACTTGTGGGTACCTCTCTGCCCAGAGTGAGGACCATTTGCCTTCTGTTTTCAGCAAGCTGGGGAAGAAGTAGGGGTGAAGGTCTGGAAAGTGACTATAAGGTGATGGTGGTATGCTGTGAGCTTACAAGAAATGGAAAAATCCAAAGATTAGTCCCTGCTTCCTCATCTGGTGCCAAAGAAGAAGGGAACAAGAGACTCATTGGAGCCTGTATTTCATCTGTCTTGGATTTTTGGCAATGAATGTTTCTTCAGATTAAAATCTAACAAAGTATTCTCACTGAGAAACAAGTTAACAAAGGATCTTAGAGATAACCTCTAAAGTAATTACAAGGAGGAAACTGATATCCGGGAAGGGCTCTCTGGCTACACAGGTAGTTACCATCAGAGCTAAGATGAGAACACAGCTCTTCTGACATCCAGGCCAGTGCTCTTGCTGTCATAGGCATGCTAACGTGCAGTCCTACCCAATAACATGTTTGATTGACTCTGGGTATTTAAGAAATTTTTGCAATCCGGTTTCAGGGGTACTACTCCCACTTCCAAGTCCTTGCTTTTAACCTGTGGCCATCCAGGCCTTCCCTTCAGCATAGTACTGGGAACTCTGTTGCTTTCAGGGCCGTCAGCCAATCTCCTTTGGACATCAGCCAACCAGTGCCAGGAACCTGGCCAGTGATTTTGACTTGGAGATCTTATATGAAGAGTCAATGAAGATGCAACTTAACTGCCCCTTTAGGCTGGGAACTTGTGGTACATCTCCCTCTGCCAGCCTAGGAGAATGGCTGGCACTCAGTAGTATGTGCTGGAGAAAAACACTTCAGTAATGTCTAATGTGAGAAGGGCATCTGGCTCTGCTTCTTGGCACTTAGGTGATTTTCCTCAGCCCCCTTCTTTGTACCTCAGTGTCCTTTGTTGTTGTATTAGAGATACTACTGCTACTCACTTTGTGGGATTGTTGGGATTTAATAAGATATTGAATATTTGTACTTTTGACTATTACTCAGCTATTTGATGTGTTGGTTTCAGCCTCTCTGTAAACTTCTTGAAGGCAGAGATTATGTATATTGCACTTTCCATAATTCATTGTAAATCATTTATTACACCTGACTCCCTGTGAGCCTGCTTTTTCATCTGTCAAATGGAAACAGTGCAACTTATTTTGTTTCCCACACAAGGTTGTTATGCCCCTCACATTAAGGAAATAACTGTGACGGCCCTCTGTACATTGCAAAGAGCTATAAAAGGGAGACATCAGTATGATTACTACTATTAGCAGTAGTAGTGCTTTGCACTTAATATTGATGTATTTAAACAGAGCTACAAATGTAGACAGTTTCTAACAACCAAATAATTTTACCGTCTCGAAGGAGGAGCCTTGGCGAGTTTTAATAACTGGACGTTGCTTCCGGATGCCAAGCAAGGCAGGTTTAAGAAAGATTCGGAGAGTTTGGAGGATGGCATACAGAATCCAGGAACGATGCTGCGGACCCTTTAAAAATTGGGATGGAGGGGCGGGGCTGTTAGCAGGGACGCGGCTGGGCCAGTCGGTTTCCAGGAAGTGACGTCAGGCGGCCGCGAAGATGGACGATTTGCAGGACTTGGACGAGGAGTGGCGTTGCGGCTTGGCTACCTCCGTGAGGACCCATTCCGGGGTCTTGGGGGCCAGGATTTGGCGGGTGGGGAGGAGCGACCCAGCCGGCCCCGACTTCCCAGAGGGGATTCAGGGCGGCAGGCCTCGCCGGGTGAGGCCCAGGAAGAGGCGGCCTCACCGCCCCGCCCCCGGGCCTCCGTACGCTCAGTCGTTGCTGGCGTGGGGTTTGCTTTCTTTAAAATCCTCAAAAAGCAGAAAACATCCTATCCCTGCTCTGGGACCGTGGGAAATTTCTGAGTCTTTCTCCGTTTTCTAGAACTCCGGTGCGAACTCCCCCAGAACAGATCGATCACAGAGTGATGGGGGCCGGGGTCGCACTCGCTCCCATCCTAGAGTTTTTCCTATGGGGCACTTCATCCCAGAAGTTCCTGCGAAAGCCGCACTGTTTTATGCCTGGAGGGGAGGCAGGCAGGGATGGCCTTTATTCCCCGTAATCCCCGCAGGGAGATAGGAATTACCTCAGTAGTTAAGGAAACCACGACTCGGATTTGTAACGTGAGAGAGTGATTAGGCGCTCAGGTACTGAGGTCAGGTGGAGCATACAGCTGTTGCCTAGGTTAAAAAAAAACCAAACACTAAAAAACTATTTAACCTTTCCGAGCCTTGGTTTCCTTATGCCTAGAATGGAGGTATTAGAGTGAAAAGGAAATGGGACAATACATGGGAAGCTTGTAACTCAGAATGTTACCACGGAAGAGGTCAGAAGAGGTTCGCTGCCGCTGCCTCTGAGGCTGTGGTTTACCCAGCGTTATAGTCAGTAAATACTGGAGCTTGATTCAAGACACAAGTTCAATGTTTATCTTCCTCCTTTGTAACACCCATCAGGCCTTTTTATCTTTAAAATTAGTCAGGATCACACTTACTAAAAGATTGAGCCCCAGAGCAAGTCTTTAGTTTCTGCTGTGAAGTCTCTAAGTGTTTTGAAGGTCACCGGCCTTGCTCATACGTGAATGCTTTTTAGTACCTGGGGATGTGAATGTAGTTATTCATTCATTCAACAAGTATTTATTGAGCCCCTACTGTGTATCAGGCAGTATCCTAGGTGCTGGAGATACAGCAGTGAGTAAAGCAAAGTTCCTGTACTCATGGGCTTATGTAGTGGGAGAAGATGAGAAGAAATGTAGTAGACTACATTTGACATACACGAAAATCAGGCAGTAAAGAAGTTTTTTACTCTATGGATCTATACAAGGTCTTCAAAAAGTTTAAAACCTTGAAATATTTAAAAATCGTTAGAGAAACCACCTGTGAATGGCATTTAGAGAGAAGATCATTGAATTTTTGTTCTAGCACAACCACTGTATGCAGGATGCTAAGGAAAGGTCAACCATGGTGAAAGGGTGGAATTGTCTGCCTTGAGAAGAAAATAAGCTGCTTATTATCAGAAAGATTGTTTCCTTCATCCCTGAAACCTAAATGATTGACACTACAATATGAAGTGTAAACACTGCACCAGAGTTTTTATGAGCTCTTCTGTAACCCCTCTCAACTTATTGGTACAGTCAGTCCTTAGAACATCTTTTTTTTTTTTTTTTTGAGACGGAGTTTTGCTCTTGTTACCCAGACTGGAGTGCAATGGCAGGATCTCGGCTCACCGCAACCTCCGCCTCCTGGGTTCAAGCAATTCTCCTGCCTCAGCCTCCCGAGTAGCTGGGACTACAGGTGCGCATCACCATGCCCAGCTGATTTTTGTATTTTTAGTAGAGACGGGGTTTCACCTTGTTGACCAGGATGGTCTCTATCTCTTGACCTCGTGATCTACCCGCCTCGGCCTCCCAAAGTGCTGGGATTATAGGCGTGAGCCACCGCGCCCGGCCAGACATCTTAAAACAAGTTTCAGCAGGGTATAGTGGAAAGCACTCAGGAAACCCAGGATCTGAAATCAGAAGGCTCTGCTCCTAGGTTTATGTGAGCCACTTCCTCACCTTCCTGGACCTCAGTTTCCTCCTTTGTAAAATGGTATCATTCTCAGTTCCTGTCCCCATTACTGTGAGACTCAAAGGAAGCCACATTAAATGAGATCTAAAAGTGCTTATGTTAATGTTGTTTTTCTAAAGAAAGAAAGCAAAAAAAAAAAAAAGACTCTTCAACACCCAAGAGTCTGACTATATAAAAGTTTTGTTTATATGCTGGGAAGCCTTGGAGTCAGTGTCTCCACGGCCTTCAGAAACACCTGCAAATAGTTCATTTGATGGCTAAGAATTTTGAAGTGCTCTCATTTCCAAAGATAATGTCTCAAAATTCTTGTACTAGATGTTCTTTAATGTCTGTAAAGGCAAATCCAATTACTGTATATCTCAAAGCAAATGCTGTTTTCCAGTTGCCATGGAATTTAGGAATTCTTTCCAAAAGGCTGTTTGATAATGATTTTCATGCCAAGCTGTAGATTTGAAATTAAGCCTTCCTAAAATTCTGCATAGGAATGTGGAGCCTTTACCACCTTCTCTGACCTGTTCTAGAGGAATTTCTAACTGCATTTCTTTGGGTAGAAAATGGATTTTCTTTTGCCATCTCTATAGCTTTTAAAACCCTGTCCAGCCTGGGCAACACAGGGAGACCCCATCTCTACAAAAAAATGAAATAAATGAATTATCCAGATATGGTAGTATGCATCTGTTGTCCCAGCTATCAGGAGGATCACTTGAGCCCAGGAGTTGGATGCTGCAGTGAGCACTCCAGCCTGGGCGACAGAGTCAGACCCTGTCTTAATTTCCTATTTTCCTATGAAATAGAACTGACCTCAGGTGCTTTGTTTTAAGGGGTTTTAGAGGGTTTTCTACAAACATGTCCAAGTGACTCAAATCCCATTCTCCACCACATCATCGTAAATCCAGTCCTTGCTTACTTTCCCAGGATTGTCATCTTTATAGTGGCCTAAATGACATTTGGGTTAGCAGTGCTTTCTGTCTTTCCTTACAGAGGGCCAAGATGGGTCGCCGAGCTCAACAGGAGTCACCTCAGGCCGAGAATCACCTCAATGGCAAGAATTCCTCTTTGACTCTGACTGGAGAGGTAGGTGCAAAAAAAAATTTTTTTTGAAGAAATGCTGTTTAAGAGTTAGTGATTCCTGACTGGGCGTGGTGGTTCTCACCTGTAATCCCAGCACTTTGGGAGGCCGAGGCAGATGGATCACAACATCAGGAGTTCCAGACCAGCCTGACCAACATGGTGAAATCCCATCTCTGCTAAAAATACAGAAATTGTCGGGTGTGGTGGTATGCATCTGTAATCCCAGCTGCTCAGGAGGCTGAGGCAGGATAATCGCTTGAACCCAAGAGGCGGAGGTTGCAGGGAGCCAAGATGGGCCATTGCACTCCAGCCTGGGCAGCAGAGACTCTGTCAAAAAAAGTTAGTGATTTCTTAATGACCAAGGATTTGGTATTCCATATTTCTTCTCTTGAATGCCAACCCTTTCTCCTGTCTTGATTTGGGAATTCCCTTCTTTGGCATTTGTCCTAGTAGCAAGAAATGAAAGAGGAACTTTTTTTCTTTGATGCCAGTCTAGTTTCTGTGCATTTCTTTATATTCTTAACGTAGAACTTTTTATGTTAGCTGAAGCAAGGGACTGGGAAGTTTCAAAATCTGGTAGGATTCTGGGTTTTTATTTCTGCTGAATAAATGCCAGCAAGGCATACTGGTGATGTAAGGTTAGATTACACAATTGGACACATGCTCTCAGTGGTGACCTGCACTTTCTGGAGTCTTCCGATGGGAAGGGGATCATTTACTGGCCTTACTTCCCTGGAAACTTTTCGAATCACCTGGAATTATGGGAAATGATCCAGCTTCGTTGTGGAGGGTGGGTAATTCTGATGAGCCATACTTTTTACTGCCAGGGCACTGCTTTTGGCAGCTTACTCAGAGCCCCTTTTTACCTTCCTTTGTCCATTTGAAAAAACTTTGCAAGAGTCAGCCTCAGGGTCATCCCTTGCCTTAGCTCTTCTCTAACTTCTCCAGGCTGACTTAGCAGTCCTTCCTCTTGCTTTCCGTAGTACCAGTTGTAGAACATATTCCATTATATGTGAATTGTCTTTTCACATGTCTGTCTCCCCCACTGGACAGTGAGTTCCCAGACAGCAGGAAACCTGGCTTCTGGCTTGCTGGCCCATAGTAGGTTTACAACAGATGAAGGGACCCATGCTGAGGAGCCTAATGGGCATCAGGCAGGTGCATGAGCAAATGAGCCGGGTACCTGTCATGGACACACTTTACTTACATATTACATAGGTAGTAATATATTCTTCATTTTCATAGGAAATGCATTCTCCACCATTTTCTTAAGCTTTCCACATGGCCTTCCATTTATCTTTCATTTTCTCACTTTACAAATATGGGTGTGGAGAATCATTACTTTAAGATAGCGTCTGTGCTGGCCTAGAAAAACTAGCGGCTGACCCCTCGGCCTCATTGCCTGGAAGACATTAGGGGAGCGGGTTAGGGCAGGGGTACTGGGAACTGGAGGCTACATGGCCCCTCTAAAGGGACAACCACTATTTAGCCAAAGCTGGTTGATGCTGTAGAGAATACAGGCCCAATACTGCCAGATAGAATTCTTCAAGAGTTGCTGGCAGTCTAAAATTTTATGTGAAAGCAACAAAGTTTTAGAGGTTAGCAACTAATTAAGAAAACTAAATCATCCTATGGACTGGATATTAAATCACCATATGGGTTGGATTTGGCCCAAGGATTGTTAGTTTGTAACTGGCCATGGCGCTTCCATGATACTTATTACACTGTGTTCTAATTGTTTACATGTTTGGTTCTCTCATAAGATGGGAGCATCTGAAAGGCAGAAGTTGTGTCTTATCATGGTACCCTATTATCTATCACAGTGCCTGGCAGAATAGATGTGCAGTTCTTACTGCACAGGATGAGGTGGGGTCAAGTACATAATGTGTGATGTACTTACACATTAGAAGCTGAGTAGAAGTGTTACAGAGGGTGGGAGAGTTGAGGGGGTGGATAGTGGAGCATTGGAGGCACAGTTAGCAGTGGTGATATAAAATAGGAATTTGGTGAAAGAAGATATACCAGATCCAACCCTGGATCTCAGGGAGCTTGAACTGCAGTGTTGTATGTCTTTAAAGAGAAAATGAGAAGCAAATGACTGAGTCGATGGAAGCCGGTTCTTGGGCTGTGGCACTTTATACTGTTCTGCACGGATCTAGGAGGATTCATCCCAATATCAGATCATTCATTCATTTACTCAACAACTATTTATTGAAGGACACAGTAAGTGCCAGGCACTATTTAGCAGGGTTGGCATATTTCAGTGAACAAAAGAGACAAGAATTCTTGCCATAATGGAACTTATATTCTTGTGATTATTGGCAACCAGGAAGACTAATTAAAAGTCTATTTAAGGCCAGGCATAGTGGCTTATGCTTGTAATATCAGTACTTTGGGGAGCTGAGGCAGGAGGATTGTCTGAACCTAGGAGTTTAAGACCAGCCTGGGCAACATAGTGAGACCTGTCTTTGCAAAGAATTTAAAAATTAGCTAGGTGTGGGTGGCATGTGCCTATAGCCCCAGCTACTCAGAAGGCTGAGGCAGGAGAATTGCTTGAACCTGGGAGGTGGAGGTTGCAGTGAGCTGCGATTGCGCCATTATACTCCAGCCTAGGCAACAGGAATGAAACTTCTCAAAACTCCATCTCAAAAGATATATATATATCATATATATATCTTTTGAGATGGAGTTTTGAGAAGGAGTATGTATATATAGACACACACACACACACACACACATATATAAAATATTTTCTAAAAGTCTACTTAATTGTGAAGGAGGTTGTAGCCACCTATGTTGGTTAGGTGAATGAGCCTGTGATGACTTGATTAGGCCTTGAAGCCTTATAGGATCCCTATAGCAATCAGCTCCTGGGCTGGGGTCAGTGGGTCCTGCTTATCTATATCCACTTCCCCTTGGCTCCCACCTGAGAATCATTGCCATAGTCACAGAGTGTGATGAACCCTTGCACAGTTTCAGCCATTCAGTAAAACCTAATTATTTCGAGGTTTACCTTTTTTTACTCTGAGCATTAGCATTTTTCTGGGAGAACATGGTGAAAAGTCATTCTGCCCAACTGTTGCCTCTGAAAGCAAGATGCCAGTCAGGATTCCAGGGTCCCTTTTCTCCCTGGGCTAATTGAGGCTTAAACAGCATGGGCAGCCTCCCACGGGGCCAGATGCTCACTGTGCTGTGTGGGACTTTTGGGCTGTTTCTTTCTAAAATTAGATCCCAAGACTTGTGTGTGTGCCCATTTACATTCCAATTCTATTACTTGATATATTTATTTTTGTTCTCTTGCTGACTATATTCTAGGATGACGATATCCATGTAAACGTAAATGTGGTACCTGGGAACTGTCAGATATGCTGGAGTTACTTTAGACTTAAGTGGAAATTAGTTGAAACACATGGTTATTTTAAAGCAAGGTAGTAGAGTTGGGAGCTCTGGTGAAGGAAGCAGAGAGAACACAGGGCTTCACATCAGCACCCGAGGACTGGGTACTAATTGCCTGGATCGAGAGTAAGTCCACTAATCTCTCTAATCCCCCATTTAATTATCTGTCAAATAGTGATAGTAATACCTCCAGATTGATATGGGGGTAAGTGAGATGGGCATTGAAAAGCACTTTAATAAACTGAAAAGCATTGTGCAAGCATTCATTCAATAAATTAGTGAATAAAGGAGTATTAGGACAGTGCTTTGCTGCTTTTATAAAAGGGCAGCAAAGAAAGAGCATGTGGCCACAGTCTCTTAGAACTGATTTGCAAGTCTTTTCAGAGGCTACTACTCATTTATCCATAGGTTGGCTAGAAGTTATCCAGAGCAGACGGTTTTTTGTTTTTTTGTTTTATTTTGTTTTTTGAGAGACAGTCTCATTCTGTCACCCAGGTTGGAGGAGTGAAGTAGTGAAATCTCAGTTCACTCACTGCCTTCCAGTTGGAAGCGATTCTCCTTCCTCAGCTTCCCGAGTAGCTGGGAAAACTGGTGCCTACCAACTCGCCTGGCTAATTTTTATATTTTTAGTAGAGACAGTGTTTCACCATGTTGGCCAGGCTGGTCTGGAACTCGACCTCTTGATCCACCACCCTTGGCCTCCCAAAGTGCTGGGATTACAGGCATGAGCCACCATGTCTGGCTTTTTTTTTTTTTTTTTTTTTTTTTTGAGGCAGTGTCTTGCTCTGTTTCCCAGGCTGGTGGCATGATCATGGCTCACTGCAGCCTTCAACTCTCGGCTCAAGTGCTCCTCCAGTCACAGTCTCCTGAGTAGCTGGGACCAGAGACATGCACCACCATGCCTGGCTAACTTTTTTTTTTTAGTAGAGACAAAGTCTTGTTATGTTGCCCAGGCTGGTCTCAAACTCCTGGCCTCAAGCAGTCCTCCCACCTTGGCTTCCCAAAGTGCTGGGATTACAGGTGTGAGCCACTACGCCCATCCTGGAGCAGAGGTTTTGTGCTTTCTAGTTGCAGCAGGTATTTATTATGAATAGTATGTAAAAGCACAGGCCTAGGACTCATACCAGCCTGGGTTGAAATCCTGGCCCTGTCATACATTAGTTTCTATGATACTGAGCAAGTTAATCTTGCTAAGCCTCATTTTCCTGTTGCCGAAACAGGGATAATATTCCATACTTCATAGGATGGCTAGAAAGAAAAAGTGATATAACCCTTAACCCAGTCTAACAAACAAATGCTCAGTATGTTGCCAACCATTATTATTTCTCTAAAACTTGGGTGGTCTTTTTTATTCCACCTTAACTTTCTCTACTGAGGTTGAAAGCTGGCAGCTTTCAGGCTGAATTTGGCCTGTAGTCATGTTTTATTTGATCCATACTGGGTTAAGAATTTTAAAATTCGGTTCACATTTATAAATTAGGAAATGTAATATGGAAATCCAGATTTGGGGCTTCTCTTTAGAATCAGAAGTCCTGGCACAGTGAGAATGAGGGCTTGACATTCCCACATGGCAGCAGTTGCCTGGAGCTGCAGCTGATGGTAGCTTA